GGTTATTTACACCGGTGGGTCGGCGCGCACGGAACGCCGGCGGCTTGCGTGTCTGCCGGCGTGGTCGGGTGTCTTTCTGTAGTGACAGAGTCCCCAAGAAGCGCAGTGGCTTCTGGACTCTGAGAAGGAAAGTTGACCTCCTGCCTGGATTTACATTAATGGGAATTAACAGGCAAGCCTCCCATTACAATGCAGGAAGTTCGATGCAGTGGCGCATTATGGTGGACAGCACCAGTGCATGAGGATCGTCATGCTCGCCTGCATCGTTAGGCGTACCCTGAGTGTCTTTCCGGGGGGGGGGGGGGGGCTGGGGGTCTAAGGAAACCCCCCCCCCCATGCTTCTCAGCCCAGGTTCACTCTTTCATCTACGCCGTAACCCATGGAAACGCGGCCTTGTCATTGTGCCACTAATTAGCGAATTCCTGACCTAAAGCGAGATGTTTTAATTAAGTGTTGTGTCAACTAGTTTGCAGATGTAACCCACGGTTAATATACATTTGACTGTAGAACTACCAGTCTACAACATGCGTGTCTGTGTGTGTATGTGTGTATATGTATGTATGCATGTATGTCTGTGTGTATTTATATTTAAATGTATCATCCGTAATGCGTGGTGTAGCGTCGCTCCTGCTGGTCCTGCCCCCCCGACCGCGTCTCGGTGGCCCCCCCTGACCGCGTCTCGGTGGCGCCCCCTGCCCTTGGCCTGCTCCGGTCTCCCGTGGCTCCTCGCGGTGCGCGGGGCAGGCGAGGGTTAAGCCGAGCAGCAGCGGGGGACGCTGGGGGCAGCAGCAATGCAGAGCCACGCGCTGTTCGTGCGAAAGCAAGTCATTTCCCGAAACACTGCAGACACATGGCCCCGGGCGAGTCAGAACCTTTGGAGACCAAAATGGCTTGCAGGAGTTAGAAGTAATAAGGTGTTTTTTTTTTTTTTTTTCCCCCTTCTCCTCTTTTTTTCCTTTCCCCTTCCCTTTTAGCCGTCTTCTCCTTGGCTGAGATCCCGCACAGTCGCTGCGGCTCGTCGTGGAACGATGGTGCCGTTTTTGTGTTTTATACGTGCATTAGGACGCCAGCCGCTTGGCCGCCTGTGAGATTTGTCGTCTCCATTCTGCGGGATCGACTGCAGCCCACATGCCGTCCAATTTAATTTCTCCATTTTTTTTTTTAATCGGGATCTGAGGCAAGACATTTTTTTCCCCTTTCCCCCCCATTTCCTACCTTTTTTATTGTCGGAGAAAGAAGCCTTCGTAAAATATGGCCCTTCCTGTCTTTTCAGGTCTTTGATTTGAGTCGCATGAGACAGAGGATTTATGTCTGTGGTGTTTTAGATGGTGGAAAAACATCCAAAAAGCTCATGATTCCTACACACTCGTTTATTTGCTTCAAAGGAGCGTAACATATACATATATATACACAAATCGTGAATCAATATTGTTATAATTGTTATTACTTAATGTTCACATTCTAAGATGAACAGGCCCGGCCTCGGCGTCGGAGAACCAGCAGCAAATCAGTTAACTCCTTACCCAAATGTCTTTGGTCCTATTGATTACGAGAGGAAGCGCTTCTGCTCTTTCATTGATAGATTTCTTTGGACAGCAGTTTTTAAAATGATAACCACTCCCCTCCCAAAATAGCTAAAAAATAAAAATAAAAACAGTGTCTGGAGACGGAGGTGGGGCTTGTCTCTGCCGTTTAAATGGCGGAGTGATATTATGACCGATCCGATATCCATCAAGACAATGACACCAAAAAATACGCCTGGGTTGAGTTTGAACATCACTGTCAAGAAATACACGAATGCAGTGAAGTACTGATTATCTGTATGAGAACTGGTTCCTCGTTCTCTGGTAACATATTTATTAACAAGCATATAATCATAACCGGCAAGGTCAGCAGGCCAGTCCAGTCTGTAAAAATGCTGTCTCATCATATGTGATTGTAACTCACAAATAGTGGAAGAGCTTTTTTCTTTGGCTGGGGGTATGCAGTATCTGTCTGGTGGGTAGGGGGCAGTTAGACACTGGCTTTAACAGGAGGTTTGCAGAGTCCCAGAAGACAATGCACACATAATCCTCACATCCAGGGCTGACATAGGCAGCCGACCACAAGAACAGAGGCGTTCGGACTTGTTTGGAGTCCATGGTGGCAGGAAGGCAGAGGCGACTGGCAGTGGCAGCCTGAGAATCCCGTCTTCCAGCTCCTTCCGGCCGACACGGCGGCCCCCGTGACGCCTGACAGATGGTTTGATCCGCGGCGGCGGGGGCTCCCAGGTTGATGTGTTTGCTCGCAGGCCTGTTTGCACAGCTGGGTGTCCCTCATGGCCCCAAAGGCTGCGGGCATACCCTCCTTCGTGCCCCCCCACCCCACTCCCCGGAGTGCCAGATGTCAGGATCGTGGATCCTGAAGGCTAATCCCACGTAGGTGGAGGTGAGACTTGGAGCTTAATGAAAATGAGCTCCTTGTCCTCCATAGTGGTGTTCAGTTGCAGTAGGCAGCTGTGTTGGGTTTCTGCGGGATCCTCACACTTCAAACCCAGGCAGCTTCCATAAGCTCTGTCTTATACCTCCTATTCACTGAAGTGCTTTAGTTTGAATGCCTGGCTCAAGGGTACAACTGCCGGACCCAATCCTGGATCACGCACCGCCGCCGTCCTTTGGGCCTCGACGTTGCATTCCATCCGGATTTGACTGTGTTCTCACTCTGCTCCGGCCCGGCCCGGCCCGGCCCGTGCCCAGAGAGGATCCGAATGTGCGCCAGCTTGTCTGGTAGCGGAGGCTGGAGCCAGCGCCGGGGGCGGCTTGCCAGGGTGCAGCTTGTGTGGGGGGGAATGGCGGCTCCTTCCCCCGCCGTGGAGCTCCGCGGCAGAGCGCCGCTAACGGCACTGACTTGCCGGCAAGACTGCCGCCGTCCCGACCCACGGTGATGAGGGATCTGAGAGCCCCGTATTGGCCACATACATGGGTTCCTGTCTCTCTCTCTACCCCCCCCCCCCATGTCAGGTGGCCCCAAAGCCTGGGAAAGCAGCCCCACCCGCTGGCGGGCCGCCGAGCTTCGCTGCCGGGGGGGGCGTGTAGCACGCCCGGGGCCCTCCGCCCTGCCCCTCCCGCCCTGCCCCTCCCGCCCTGCCCCGTTGGAGGGCATGCCCGACCCGAAACACAAGCCCGAACGAGATTGCTGGCGGCTTTGGAGACCTCACTGTGTTCCTGCTGGAGGCGTCCTGGCTGCGCCTCTGCTCTGAACGTGCCCCTTGATGCCGTTCCACTTCATTGGACCCGGATCGGTCACATGAGCACACTGATGGGCCGACGCCATTTTCGAACCTCTCTTATGTAACTGTGTCTTTTTATTGCCTGAGAAGTGTGATGGTCGGCTTTTAATTTCTTTTCCTTTTCTTCTCAGCATGAATCGATAACTGATGCATCTTCTTGCACACGGGAAACAGCAGTGATTGGGTTCATTGGCAAACACGTTGAACCTATTAAAATAAGACAATGCCTACTTAAATGTTATAGGATAAAAATGGAGGAGTAATAGATGCTGCAGCTGTTGTTATACCAGCTGCCAGAGGTCAAAGATTACAGAGATGGATCTGATTGGGCCTGCGTGGAGCCTGATTGAAGGAAGGTGGATCTGATTGGGCACTGTGTTGAGCCAAAGTGAAGGAAGGTGGATCTGATTGGGCCTGCGTGGAGCCTGATTAGAGGAAGGTGGATCTGATTGGGCACTGTGTTGAGCCAAAGTGAAGGAAGGTGGATCTGATTGGGCCTGCGTGGGGCTCACATGCAGGAAGGTGTATGTGAATGAACTGGCATGGAACCCAGGTGAGGAAAGGTGGATCTGAATGGGCCTGTGTGGAGCCCAGGAGTGGGATGGTGGATCTGCCTGGGGTTCTGTGACTGGGAGAGAACGGCGCTAATTGGCATGGCGCTGGGCACGTAGCCCAAATCATGAAGGGTGGGGGTGTAATGTGGCCGTGGCTCTGCTTGGTGAGTGAGTGCCTCTCCCCTCAGATGCTCTGTTCCCATTTCCCCCAGGGCCATGCCTGCCCTGTCCCCATATGGACGTTCTCAGCACATTAGCCTCAGAGCCGGTAATGGATGTGTTCGAAGACACAGCACAGTCCAGGATGCACAATCTGCCGCGGTCTTTGATATGGTTACTGTTGAGCCAGATATGATTATGTTTGCATTGTGTGATGTCTGCGGAAACTGGACGTGGTTCTCCTGGGTCTCCTTCAGATGTTTCCAGTTAGTGTCAGTCTACTGTGCTCTGTGTTTATGGGACATAACCAGGATAAAACAAAGTGTCGTGGGGGGTGGGGGCTGTCATTAAAATGTCCGTGATGTTTGTTTTCTGCCTGGATTCAAGTGGTTAGATTGTATATGTTATTTAGCTGGCGTTTTTCATCTGAAGATGTAAGATGGTCTTTTTTATGGTCCCATGCAATCTTCCTTCTCTTCTCTACTCAACACAAAAAAAAAAGCCAAAGAGGTTTCAAATCAGAAGCAGCAGAATGTCGGCTTAGATCACAAACTACTTGTTTTAAGAATTATACATATTTCTTAGTCCTTTTAAAAATTCTTATCTGCAGCACTTTGAAGAGATTAATCTCATAGAGTCAGGTAATTAAAAGCTATATCTCTAAGTGCTGAAAGGACACTGGAGAGCACCCTAAAACGGCATATACATTAAATGTAGTCAAAAAGCCCAGTTTTTAACTAGATTGAGTCAAGCTGGATTCTCATTGAGGTTAACATGATTTCATTTCCCCCCATTTAAATTGATGTTTTGCTGCAGCATACAACATCACAGTCTCTCCAGGGACTTCAACTTAAAACCTTTTCTTGTCAAACCCACCGAGCCCCCCATCTGCAGATCGTCAGGGTGGTCCGAGTTTGATAATTATTTACTTAAGTGGCTGACGCAGAGGTGCTGAGATTTCGTAAAGCCTCCCCGCCTTCTGACGCCCTCCACGCTAATTCCTTCCTCTTCCTCCGCAGGTCTCGGGGAGTTCATTGGGTGTGTCGGCCAGCTCCTCGGCAAGCGGCGCCGCCTCACGACAGTATCCACGGCAACGCATCACTCGCGTCAACCTCAGGGACTTCATCTTCTACATGGAGCAGGACCGGGAAACTGCTCGCTCACTGCTGCTGTACCGCGCCCTGCTCAAGTAGCAACCCCCCCCCCCCCGCCCAGATGCATCCTGCCCACAACGTGCCTTCCGTTGGGTCAGTCGCTTCGGCTCAGTGTTTCTGTCATGACCTTAACTTCAGAATCAGATTGGGAAAATTAAGGAAAAGTACTTTGGCTGGAAAAATCATGGCTAGCATGTTCTGGACACGGGGAGTGGGGGGGTGGGGGAGGCCGTGATGCAATCTGGGTCTGAGCGTAAGCCTGAGCTGGAGGAGCTGTGTGCACCTGTGAGAGACGCCCACTACTGGGCATGGAATGAACTGTCCCAAAGTGAAGGATAACTTAATATACCTTTAACATTTTTTCCCCTTTTCCTGAAGAAGCAATATATTCCAGACCTGGTCGTACAGCCTACAGTATTGATTGAGTGCGGTCACATTGCCTCACGTTTCTGAACAAAACGTATAACCTTTTGCGAACCTGACATTTTTTATATGTGTCTCTTTTGGAACGGCAAAAGCGTGAAAATGAAGTTTGGCAACCGATGCTGAGTAAATTAAAATGTATATAATTCATTTTCTTAAGAATGGTTTTGATCAGCATGTACAGTACTTCTGCCACCTATTTAATATTTTAGCATCAAATAATTATTTGGGTCACATAAAATCACGTCCATCTCATTCCTTGAAGAGAAAATTGTTATACTTTCAGACTCCCTGTTTATGTTGATGCAGCTCTCAGCCAGACAGATCTCAGTAAACTTGTAAAACGGTTTGCAGGAGGGCCTGAATTTTTAATACCACACTGATATACCTGAAATAATGTTGTCAATAATAAAAATATTCGTTTTGGAAAGTTGTGGAAGGAGGTGCCGTAAAGATGTTTGATTTTCAGAGAACCGACTTATGGACTCTAGATCAAACATGGGGGGGTGGGGGTGTAATGCCATTGCAATGACGATGACACTGACTCTACTATCACATGGAGCTTGTGTTTCTGAATCGGTTTTCCCACCGTGATTAGAACTGTAACTGTTGGCCTTTTTAACCTGAATTGAAGTTTGGAGTCGCATATCTGATTCGAATGGATGGCGCTCGGAAATTTCCCATAATGCCATTTTCCTGATTCATAATTAAACCAACGAGAAGCCGCGATTGGCTGGATTTGTCATCGGCTCCTGTGATGTAATGGGTTCTGCTCGAAAATGGTTCGTAATTTGAAAATACTTGCAATATTTTTCGTGCAATGGACGTTTTACGCCATCCCTAATTCCCTTTTCGGTCTAAATAGGAATCGCTTGCTTCTATGCAGCTATCGTGTCTGAATAGTGCCGCTTTGTAATTTATTTGTTGAACGGACGACGTTTCCAGGTGGCCTTTGGAGTTAATGTGCGTTGGTTTGTTTTTTAACGGCATCATATTTTAGTTTTAGTGCTTTATTACAAGTGAAAACGAGAAACTATGTTACTAATGTACATCGCGAAAGCATCTGTCTCTTTCCAAGCGTCAAGCAGTATTGTCTGTAGCTGTTAAAGGGAATTTGTTTTGTAACTATTTATATATATTTCCTTTTTTAAAATTTACATTTAAGCTTGCCACATTTCAGGCAATGCAGTTTTATCTTGGTAAAATATCATAACGGTAAACAGAGAATAAACATCTAAATAATATAAAAAGCACAAATAGACCTATTTGTCCAATGGTTTGAGATGATTTTAATAATTATTTTTATGGTTTCTGATAAATAAGCAAGCGGTCATTTCTACTCCGTCAGCTTTTTAGCCAAAAGATTATTAGGAAGGTGTAGCTGAAACACAGAGGTGGAAAGTTTATGTTTTACTGTATGGATAATTTGTACATATTGTTTACAAAGATCATGTGTTTATTAGAACTACGTTATTTTTGGTAAACCCTGTATATATTCTGGAATTTTCCTGTTTGTGTGAAAAGCATACTTCTGTATTTGTACCTATTTTGTAAAGGAATAAAGAAGCGGTTTACTAAACAATCCAATTTTTATTCTGAAGTTAACTTTGTGTGTTTTATGTTGAAAGACAGAAGATCCATATTAGTACAGTAAAACAAATGAAAGGATTTGGCTCTCCTAAATGCCACTGTAGTCACTTTGAACCAATAATTTAATATCGCTCTTAGGTAATATATTTAATAATCTCGTCAGATGCCGGACTTGTAGGGGTCAGTTATATATACATGTGGCCATAAACTGTAGCAAATGATTATTGATAGCTTACGTCCTGCTTTACCTGCGATGAAAACCCCATTGAGTTTTTTTGTGTTTGAATGTCACGTTAATTCGCCTTAAACAGTTTGCTGCGTTTTTTTCTTTCCAAAATAACGTTTCCATAGTTATAATTACCCAAAATGTTCAATTAATATTAATTGCCTTCAGTGCTAATACCTCTTGTTTCGCAAATGATTGACTAAAGGGTTTAGGTAGTACTGACGCAAATGTACCTGTAAAACTTTTAAACAATTAATTCGGAAGTTAATTGTTTTAAATAATGAAGACTGTTAAATTCTCCCCAGGGAACAGCTATTTTACATGCTGACATTAATATATTGATAGATAATGCTGGTGCTGCTGACATAAGCCCTGTTTAACACGATTGGTTTTTTGTTAGTTCACAAACTAACGCTTCATGCATCAGAACCATTTTATTTAATTTAATGGACTCCGGCATTAAGGCTGATAAAGCAAGGAGCCAAAGTCGGGGCTAAAAATCTGTGCGCGCATGTTTAAGGAGAATATAGTCTGAGAAATTGCGCTATTTGACGAACTCGCTGTATAACCGAGCGGATGTGTCCCGTTTTTCTCATCAAAGTTCGTATTTTCATGGTTACTTGTGGTAATTCATCCTGGCCGATTCACCAGTAAATACCGGTATTTTGCGCTTCCGTTTTCCCCATCACATTCCAGCTAAACAGTCGCGTTTGAAGTACTTTGAAAGCCATTGTGAAGAATTATTAATGGTTTTCTGCGAGGATAGGTTGTGATATCATATTGTGTCTTTGTGGTTGTATTTTCAAATCCTTCTGGCGTGTACAGGTTCCGGATTATAATTGCAGCCTGGAAAACGTTGTGTTCATGGTAGGGAAATCTCTCCCTTCTGGTCTCCGCTAAACAGCTGCTTGATTACACATTGGGGATTTTTTAAATGTATTATTTACCCTCATCGATGTCCCTCCAGACAACAGTTGGAAATGACGCTAACGCTATTTAAACCTGCTTTGTATCCGTATGCTAGTGACATGTCTATTAATTATGGTGTAATTTAATGCAAGAGGGCTAATTAATTTCAAGTGCTAATTAAAAAAGACCAAAATGTTTAATTTGGTATTGCCATGTCCTCGCCCACGTTTTCTTCTCTTATCCTTCACTGCACTCTAAAATAAATGATCCAAACTTCTTCATTACTTGGGCAGGTGGGGAATTTACGTGAAGCTGCTGATCACCGAAATTATAGTGAGGGGGGAAAAATCGCTCTGCGCGCGCAGTCTCCTTATGCTGGCATTTTAAACCCAGATCTCACTTTTAATGCATGGATCCGTTTTTGATGATGATACTTTGATTAGGATTTTGCAGGGCTGTTTAAGGGCCATCGGATACACAGGCAGATTCGGGGGCCCCCAATGCGTACTGTCAGGGGCCCGCTTGGCAAAACCTCGGAAAGATCTTCTAGCTACACCCCTGTCTGCTTGCATAAGTACATATGAATTGTTTTCTTTCACATATCCCTACTTACTCCTCATGGAGCACAAAAATACCAGTGAGAGTGAAGCTCCAAGTCAGAGTGCAATTCACCCAGCACCCTAGAAGCAGTTTTTGAGCTTAAGGGCATTGCTTGGGGGACCAACAATGATGTGATTACTCTAGTGCGCCTTTCACAAGGGCCCAGCAGTAATATGATTCTCTGCTGGCCACAGGGTTTGAACCAGCGACCTTCTGGACACATTCACAGACCCCTAACCAAAAGCGTAAAAGATAACTTGCTATAATTCTCTCCCTCTCCCTCCCAAATAAACAGGCATCCTAAAGAATAGGGCAAGCATAGCCAAATCCAGGTTTTACACTAATACAGCCTTGAGTTTTCTTCCTGCAAATTAAAGGTGTTGATTGTAAGCTTAATGAAAACCACAAGTAAAAAAATGCAGATATTCCACACAAATGTTGTTATATTAAAATTATGTATCATCTTATTACATAACATCTTTCCTCTATTGCTTTGAGGGGGGGGAAATAAATGCAGTTTGAGACTGGAAAACCCAGCCCCCCCTGGTGCTTCGAGTGTGATAAGTCACAGACAGAAGGACGATGTGCGGTCCTGCAGAACAGTGCCCCGTAGCGCCTAAAGCACCCCCAAGACTAGAGACAGTATGCAGGAAGACCTCCCCACCACAGGGGGCAGCGAATCAGTCACACTGTTTATGAGTCAACTGCGTGCCATATACTGCGAGTGAAACAAACTATGGAAATAGAGCTGAAACTCATCTCATCTGTGAGGGCTGGACCCCAAACATGTCACATACTACAGGAAGCACATTCACACAGCAGTGAAATAAATCAGGCCAACAAAGAATAATACTTAAACAGTACATCCTTTTATTAACGCATGTATGCTAATAAAATCAAAAAATGGAGACACTGTAGATAAACACATTCCCTTTAATACTGTAGTCCAATTATTAAAACATTTTGTTTAAATAATATACATCTGCACCTAGGTATACGTTTTGAAATACCTTGTTCGTCTTTATTTTGAAACAAAAAATCCCTATGTACAGAACATATTGCTTGCAAATTTTAATTCCTGATCATTTTTTTTCTTTTCCAGGAAACTTAACATTGGACTTGGAGGATCTTGAGTTTTTTTCCCCTTATTTGATAAAAAGCAAACATTTAAAACTCAAGTCAATTCAATATACAAATAACTTTACAAATCACTAGTCTTCAGACTACATGGCACAAACCACCTTGATTACGTTCTTGTTCCAAATGACCAGGAAAATCCAGGAATGGTGCCAGTGGGGCAGCATAGCAACTCCAACCTGTAAGACTGCTTCTGTACAACATCTCAGCGGGTTGACTGGTTCAGGATTTCACAAGCAGTGAGTATAGAAGGAGGGGGTGTTGTACCTTGGGATAGAGAGGTTGAGCTGAAGGAAAAACGAAAATATGGGACAGTCATGGACCAACAGTCACTTCTTTCAGGCAAGCCAGAAGGCCTCAGGGCATGAAGAAGCATCGCTGAGTCCCCGGGTCCTCCAGGAACACCAAACGCTGGCAGTCCGCCCCCCCACTGCCGGGGGGTTGTCATGGGGTCGATCTAAAGTTCCAGAGAGCGATGCGCATGGGAAAAATGTTTGCGACCCTTTTGCGGTGCCTGGACAGACTTGCGTGCGTAACGTTAGCCGGACGGGGAACGACACTCGCTCCCACTTTAAAGACCCTTTGCGATTCTTTCATAATTAAAACAAAACAAAACACGACAACCACATGAAAAGTCTTTTACATTTTTCAGTTTTTTTCTTTTTTTTTTTACTAAAAATACAGAGGAAAAGAAAATCTGCCATTGCCCAAATTAGGCTTCTACTTGATGAGCATTTTGGCAAAGGAAAGAAGTCTTTTTTTTATACATGTTACAAGTTTGACAATAAATTGCCATTTGTCTCCTTTAATTAATTTAGCGTTGGGGCAGAAAAGAATACTCCAGAATGCTATCTTTGCTGTGTTCATACTGTGCCACGTGGCATTTTGGGAGGAGGGTTATTTTGACGGAGCTACAAACCCATTTGTATATATATTACTGTCTACTCCTGGAAAGCTGGTAAGTTTTGCACGGGGAAAAACAAAAAACAGTGACATGGTGGCTCACTGCTACGTCTCTAGGTGCTCAGAGTGTCTCAGCTTTGCACACCTGAGAAAGGAGGCGGGTTTGAAATTTTGAAATTCCGTTAGGACCCACTTTCCCCTTTAGCGGAGGGCTGGGGGGGAGGAGGACTCACCCTGTCCTCACAGAGGCCACATAGCCAGAGTGGGCGGCATCGGATACATCACGGCGCAATTCCCACATGGCGGGAATAAACCCCGGGAATCGGAAGCCCGGACATGGTAGCTTTATGCTAAAGGCTACAAGGGATCGTCGCATAATTCACCCAATCTTCACCGGGACTCGGAATCACGACGTTAGCGTTCTCCTTGCCGCACACGGCGGAAGCTCACTGGGGATGATCACGGGAGAGGGGTAATCGCATGCGCTGCATCGCCACGGCCTCGGCACATGCATTGTGTGTTTTTGGGGAGAAGGCTTAGGAACACCATTACAAAAGCTCAGCACCTACACCCTACAGCTGGGCCCTAACAATGAGGTCCTCCCTGGCTTTGAATGCATTAGCAGCCAGAGTGCTTTAGCCGTGTAGCCTGCGGACATGACAGCGTTTCCACAGCGCGCACACGCCGGCGGCCAATGCTCTCTCAAACCAAACGACTTCTGAAAACTGCTCTCAGAAATCCTTCATATGGAACACAACAAAACATAAACTCATAAATTAAAAGGCAATAGAACAGGGACGGGATGGAATAAATGCAGCAATGGCCGATTTTGTTGCATGGGCACTGAGACAGAGAGGCCGAGTCACACGTCGGGGCTCCAAGGCGCCGTCACATGCGGCGCCGTCACATGGTCTGCGGGGGAACCTGACGCCGGCGGAGCGTCACAGGATGGGAGAGACGTTCAGGGATGTGGCAAAAGGACGTCTCGTTTCCTTTTTTGTTCATTCGTCACACTCTCTCGTTCTTTTTGTCATCCCGGCTAAATGGAAACATTTTTCTGGTGCTGGGGTCACATTTTCCTCAAAGTGCCGCCTTTCGCAGAGCCGGCCGTGCAAGCTGATGTCTGCAAATACTTGGAGTTCGGTTCGTTCTTTTGCTTTTTTTTTTTTTTGCAGGGGGGGATATGGGGTTGGGGGGGGGGGGGTGGCGAACGTGGAGGTCGGCTTTGTTCTGTGGGAGGAGAGTTTGCCCCAGAGGCGGGCCTGGTTGGCCCCCCAGCACGCTCTAGTCCAGCGGCTCCTGCTTTATCCTGACGGGTGTGTTGATGGTGTGGCAGCGCCGGTCCTCCCGGCAGAGCACGTACTCGCTGAACTGGGAGGAATCGACGCCGCCGCCACACGACGCTGCCACGCTGAAGCCCTTCTGGAACAGTCTCTCCAAGACCTGCGGGGCAGAGCGGAGAAGCCGTGACGTCGGTTAGCGTGGCGTCAGCACAAACACCTGAAAGCCTTTATTACTCACAGAGACAAACACACACAGCGGCAGAAATGATCCTGAGTAAGAGCTGGCTAATCCAGCAGTGAATGCCAGCGTGGTGGCCACAGAAATGGCATGAAGATGAGACGCGATGTCAGAGAGACAACATCCATCCATCCATCCATCCGTAAAGGAGTACAGAAGAGCGACACTAGTTTTATCCTATTCCTCACAATGTGTTTACACGGTAAGATCTGCTCTGAAGAACCTTGCTCTGGTTTAAGCAGAGAGATGACTGCAGCTCACTATCTAGCAGTCAAACCAGTCAGTGGGCATCACAGGAGTCCTATCTAACGCCTGGCCTACAGAACATGGAACCGCTGTCCCAGAAGCCTCTGCTTCCTCCGCCTCCATTATCATGATTTTTTATATATATATTTTTTTAATTATTTGGAGGACCCTCTCCGCATGTTTACGTACTCCGGGGATCTGTCTCAAGGCTACAGCCGGTGGGAAGGAGGCCAAGAGAGAACACATTAAAACAGGAGCCACACAAAAAGCAAGGGACAAAGCAGTGACCTGACAGCCCTCGTTATCACGTCTGGGCGGGCGGGCGGGTGGGCCAGGGGTGTGGGGAGGCAATTAGGCTGTGGTGTGTGAGCAGCTGACCGGGTGCAGCGCACAGGGATGCGCACTTGTTAAGGAGCTCTTCGAAGATCAAGTGCACTGATATGCCTTTTAAAGGAGAGCTAAACTTTAAATTACTTACTTCAAAGTCAAATCTGTTTCCCTTTAATGAGGCGAAGATGACATGTAGGGTGGGGGGTGTCGGGGGCTGCTTAACGACCGCTTCTGTCACCCTCCGCCAAAGGGTGGTGATGGTGCTCAGCTTGTTAATGCGCGGGGAGAATGCTGGGCAACGGTGTTAATTAAGAGGCACGCCCACACAAAAGATGGCTCTGAATAAGGACTATTACGTAAAATTTGCTCTTTGTGGGATGAGCAGCCCAGTAAGCTGTCTGATACAAAGGAGTTTGTCATTATTATATTATATAAATTATGCAAAATAGGGCAGAGTCGCTTTCAGGATGGATATCTGCGAGCCACATGCCCTGGAAGGATAACTGCTTGTCATTCGCCTTTCAGCTGGCGCTCAACTCCGTGTTGAGGTTCGCAAACGCTCCTTGATGGGGTGAAGAAGTCGCTGCGATCACGTGTTTGCGGTTTAAAGTTTCCGGAACTGCGCGTACGAAAGTTTCACGTTTTCAGACTTCTTAGCATGAAATGATGAAGCCTCGATTTGCAGCAGCACAATTAGGAGCTGTGGGTCTGCAGGTCTCTGCTGGTAGCCCATTACTGTCAAACCGTACACCTCTCTGCTGCCGACTTCAGGGCCTCAGAAGAGTTTTTCTTCTCCCTGGTTGTTTGCGACGGGATGTTTGAAGTTGACAACGCGTCTGGGGGAAGTGGGTCATACTGGAAATGGGGGGGGGGTGTCGCGTTCAGCCCCAGGGGTGCTAATCATGCCACCAATCAGGTTCCTGTGCAGGATACGCCACCGCCCCAGAAGCCAATGGGAACAGCCGGAGCTCCTGCCGTCCCGGATGGGGGTAACCATGGTGATCGACAGAAGTTGTCTTGCTGGTTCACATTGTTCCTCTAGCTCTGCGTCGGTGGGGCTGAGGAATCAAAGTGGGCAGCGTCCTCGGCCGGTCGCGCCGCATGATGCAAAATTGATGGCCGCCGGGGTTGGCCCTCTGCTGCCGCCGGTGCGTGAGTCTCGCTTGCGGAGATCAGAGCGGGGCAGCAGAATGTGATCCCCGCCAATGGGACAAAGGCTGATTTGAGCTGATTTGGGCTCCACCCCCCCCACATCTACTGCACCAGGTCAAAACAAACCAGCAAGGAAACAGTGATCCTTTCCCAATGAAAAATTGGGTAATTTTATCTAGAAATAATGCCCGCTGAGAAAATGTCACCTTGGGCCCCCTGGTCAATATTATGCATAAATTTACTAATTTAACAGCCCCTGTGAGGTGCTAGGCCCCCTGAATCTGCAAGGGTATCCGAGCCCCAATTGCAGCACTGCCAATGACACAAAACTTCCAAAAAACCACACCCACACACATCACCTGACAAGTCACCCCCCATCACGGATGTAGCGTAAGTTCCAAACACTGCAGCCTGCCCTGTTCAATTCTGCCTATTTTTACACCCACACTGAAATTTTTATGATTAAATTTTAGCTACTTATTACTGAATTTAGTGCAGGGAAAGTTGCTTGGCTATATTTTATGGGACGTTTTCGCAAAGTGGATCTGCTAGGGCAGGCCGGCTGGCTCAAGGCAGCTGCACTCGGGATCAGAGGGTGACGTTCGGGACGCTGGTCCCCCCCCTTTGGGCCTAGCTACCTGCTGCACTGAAATATGACCCAGGTGACATCGATGTGTGCTGGCCTCAGGATTGATGGTGAGGGTCCTTGACATATTAGTCTGGGGACAAAGGATTTGATGTCCCCGGCACGAGGATCGCCGTCTGGGACACAGTACGACGACCGCTGCCCCTGTCATGGTGACAGAGGAAAAGTGGTGTTTAGCCTGAGCTGGGTCTTCCATCACCATGATGGATGAGGCCGCCTAGTCAGGCCTGCCGCCCAGGGACGGCTCTCACACACCTCCGCCACATCTTCTCCGCTCAGTGTTTTCCTAAAAAGCTTCTCCTGCCAACGTCCCCATTCAGCCACGGTCTCTGTAACGCCCCAGAAAGTTCCGCCCCATCGCTCTGCCACTCATATATGTAACGATCACAAAGTTGATCCTGAGCCCACCAGCCTTGGACATAGACCAAAAAAAAAGTCTGAAAGGCAAGCAAACTTCCCAGCATGCAGGATACAACAGGGATGGCTTAGCCTCTGCCTGCGGGGTGAACACTGTGCTCACAGCTCACGGTTCCCTTTGTTTGTCTCCTGACTGGTATCTAACGCTGTGTGCCGTGTCATGTGACCTTCCTCGCCAGACTCGGGGGCCGTGTGTACGCTGTACTTCCTGTCATTTGCATCGCGTCCCAGTCGGCGGTGTCGTGTAACCTCCCAGACTGTGGTCCGTATTTCCTGTACGCCCCCGGCAAACTCTATCCCGATCTCCCGTTTCAGGGTGGGGCCGACTCTACTTGGAACGGGTCCAAAAAGGCAACCAGATCACAGCGCACCCTTCTGCTGGAATTGTTATGTTTTATGCTATCTAACAATGGTTAGAAAGGGAGAGGGTGGTGGGGGGGTTGAAGGAGTTGTTTAAGAAAACTCTCCACTGTCAGACATCGTGTACAAATAAACCAGATCTGACTCTGTCATTTAAGAAGTGGGGACAGAGCTAGATCAGTGTTTCTCAATCCAGTCCTCAGAGACCCACAGCCGGTCCATGTTTTTGCTTTGTCTGAGCTCCCTACCAGCTCTCGGTAGGAGCAAAAACACGGACTGTCTGCAGGTTCCTGAGAACCGGATTGGGAAACACTGAGCTAGAAAGTTACTGTCTGCCTGTCTAGGACTGTGTCGTTAGACAAAAGCCTTTCTGGGTGCCACTGTGCCCTGGAACGTGAGGAAGGGGAATTCCGGGAATACTCTTCCCGGGTGGTAGGGGATGCCGGCTCCGCGGCAAACAAATGGATTTACTTCACCTCGGCCCACTCCACCGGTGTCTTGTAGGAAGCAGCGGTAATTAAGCAGAAATGGTTTCTGCGTTCGCTGGAAACGAATGCCGGCATGGAGACACAACTCGGCTTGGCTGTAAACAGGCTGGGGAGCAAGAATTGCTTGTTGATGCGGCCAATTAATTATATTGCAAGTCATTTAAAAATCTATAAAAAAAGAGTATAAAGCAGTTTAGGATGTTTGAGAATTTCTAAGTACGGCATTAAAAAATGCAATACATGTATTTAAATGGCTCGGGGCACTGGAGCAGAGGAGTCTTTCAGAAGTGCAGCTACGTCTTAAAAAGGACTGAAATATGAATTATGCATGTTGGTTTTTTCCCCCCCTTTTCTCCTTCTTGTCTTACGCCAGACATGACCCAACGCCAGAAGCATGTCCTCACCCCCTCAATCCAGCCTCAGGACCGGCGTCTCGGCTGAGAAAGCGTCCGTTAAAGGCGAGGGAGGAGATGAGGGCTCCCATCTGCTTTGCGAAGGCTTCGGGGAGGATGTAGTGGGCGGCCTGATTAGTGTGTGGCTTATTTGTGGGTGTGGTTTGTTTACAGTCTCGTTTTTTTTACTTGGTGTGTGGCATGTTTGTGTATTTGTGTGTGCAGCTCTGTTTGTGGATGTGGTCTATTTTTTGGGTGTGGTCTTTGTGGGTGTGGTTTGTCTCTGGATCCGATTACTTCGGGGTGAATCAGCGTTTTCTGTTTTTCCATTTCCCTCGGGGGAAAATTCCTGCACATCACCATGAAGTACTTTGTGACAACTTGCCTCTAAGAAACGCACTATACTGAATAGGATATTGATTGATCAGGCAATTCTGGGTGTGGCCTGCAGGTTGTTATCTGTGGGTGTGGTTCGTGGCCGTAGTTTATTTGGGGGGTGCTTAGTTAGGGGTGTTGGTGGTGCAGGGTTCTGTCATTCTGTTCTTCTAGGTGGGGGTGTACCATATGTTGTGAGCGGGGCTGTGTTCAGGTGTGTCTGGCCTGTGTTGGGATCCATTTCATTAATGGCTGATTCAGGTGCTGGTGTGTTGGGGGGCTGCAGTAGTTGAAGGGTGTGGCCTGTTCGCGTGCAGATGTGGGTTGGCCTGGACTCAGTTTACGTTCTTTGGCCACATTCTTCATCCCGTAGTAAGAGGTGAGCCCGTAGTGAGCCGAGCTTCCCTCCTCTTCCTCATCTCCCAAACGCCATCACTTCCACCACAACATCCCAAAAACCAACCCCTCACATTCTCTTTGGTTAGACAAGATGATTTAACTAGTCTGGTTAATGTTACACAGCTGTCTCATTCAAGTGCATGGTGACCAACGACAGAGTCCCACAATCCACTGCGGAGCAGGCGCCACAGATACAGGAAGACGGAACGTGGAAGATCTGCACTTTACGCTATGGCTCCTCAGAGACCCAAGAATACACAGTGCAATAACTCCAGCGTCGTCATTAGCAACCGTTCTCTCTCACGACCATGTGAAAAACAAGGACATGAACGCGCATTAACACACAGAGGACAGCGGCCAAGGACACGGTACCACATGCGGCGTGCGGGAGACGTGCAAATCACCTGCACAGAGTTGAGCCTGCAGTAGCCATTGAGCGGGAAGCGGATGACGTGCGTGGGGTCCTGGTTCCAGCCGGCGTTGACCGAGTTGCACATGACGTCACCCGTCTCGGGGAAGATCTCCTCGATGAGCACCTTCTCGCCGCTGAGCGCGATGCGCTCGCCCAGGTCGGGCGTGACGCGCACCACCAGGCAGTCGCAGGGCGGGGCCAGCCGCCGCTGCTCGCGCTCCTGCTTCCAGCGATCCAGCTCCTTGATCATGGGCGTCAGCTGGTAGTAACGCGCCTCCTCATACAGCAGCTGGAAGTCCTGCGGGAAAGGGTGCGGGCAGTGAGTGGCCAGCAAAAAAAAGCAACATCGCCCTCTACTGGGGGGGAGGGTAACTGCACATGGGTAAGGATGTCAGGGGTCTCCTATCTCCACAATGAAAACTTACAGGTATTTTGCTTTGCTGGCAGGAGAAATGTCAAAAACATATAAACGTAAATGTCAAACGCAGAGCAAATGCACCGTTTCCTACTATGGCAATTGCCCCCCCCCCCAGGTCCCAGTAACGGCACAGATGCTTCTGCTTTGTGGCCTGTAGGCTGTGTGAACGCCGTGACTCTGCGATACACTTTCATCCCCCTCTAACCCGATTGGGGCCAGATGGACGTCAGGAGGGGAGGTTTTTCCATGCGAGTGTTTGTTGTTAACGTTAGCATGGAAATGCTGGAATTTCACATTTCTAATCGGTTAGGTGTCCCGGGAACCGCAAACCATTCCCATCTGATGGGGGTTCTGGAACCCAACTCGGCTTCCTCGCCAATCCCTGCGCTGGTCATGCGTTTCCCGCATGGAGATACAGCGCTGGGCGGACGGAGCACCAGCCCTGGCTCTGGTACGCATTAGAACCGGCACTTGCGTGAGGCATTACACAAGATGGGTTTCCTTCATAAATTAACAGACTGCCAACCCCCCACCATCCCCTACCTCAGTATAAGGGCTGACCCCCCCCCACCCTGGGTTCCTGAAAGAGCCAGATGGCACCACCACAACCTCCCACCCTTCCAGTACAGATGAAGCAAAAAGGCGGTAGGGAGCGTGGTTCTGGGTCTGAGACTCACATTGTGTCCTTGACTGGATCACTAGTGCTGAACAGCACCGGTAAAACATCCAACTTACAAATGCGTAAAATCTGTAAATTGGGTGGAAAGAACAACACTGACTAAACAATAAAATAATAAAAATGAAAACTATTTCCTCATGACCAAATGCCACCAAAATGATCCCTGACCACTGTGAAGACTCTGGTCAAACTGTGACTAGAAGACGTGCATCTTGGAAAAATAGCTGCCTTTAAGTTATTCATTCCGGGGCATAGTCAGGGAAACGTCCAGGGCTAGTCAAGCTCACAGCTTTGCTTTGATGCATATTTTTACAGCTGGGTATAATACAGTGAAAGGTTATTGTCAGAGGTTAAGCTGCCAGTTTCCTGATTGTGAAGCAGCTGGGCTTTCTGAGAGATGCCAGTCTCTGTCACCGCTGTGCTTATGTTTACATTCGCTGTCAAATGCTTTCACCTTGAAAGCAGTACTTGTAAGTAATATTCTGCAGTATTCCAAAGCTGCAAAAGGCACTTCGAAACAGAACAGTTTCTAGACAGGGCCGCAGATACGCAGCGTTGTTTGTGTAACAGCTACAACGTTGGGATTAATTTGAGGCATCTTGGGTGAAATGTTTGCAGCATAGGGGCAGCCAATAAAAAAGCATATTACTGCAACAATACCGCTAAAGTGGAAGAAGCTTATTGGTTGAGGAGGGCTTATAGGCAAGGGTCAGACCAAGGTGTGCCGCCGTTGTGTAGCGATGGTCTCCTGCGACCCAGTGGCTGTGTGCGTAACACAGCTCCGTTCCACGCACCCCAAGGAGACGTTTGATGTTAAGTGTGGGGGTGAGGTGGCCTCGTCCCGGCTGTCTCTCCCAGAGCTTGGAGCGGGATCTGACAAGGTCCTGCCAACCCAGTAGAGTCCGATAGCCCAGTGCAGAGTGGGAATCACATGTGATCAGGATTAAAGCTCACAGCTCCCCATTGCACCTGACCATCACTAAGCCAGAGACACCATAAAGCAAAGCTGCTTTTTCTGTGCCAGACCAGACGTACGATAAAAGTCACTCTCCATTCCAGCCTGACCTGCCTATTTTAATATGGCAGTGCTGCTTTCAATATTAACTTTCCTGGCTTTCTACACACAAGATGGACACAAACTAGATGTTTTTCAATACAGATTCAGTGTAAAATTTAAAGACCGTAGCAATAATAAAAGGGTCGGGGT